TATGTGGCACATAACATATGTGAAAAAAATCTTAAAATATGCGCATATATTTGCGCCACATATTCCTGGACACCCTATATTATAACCAAAAAATTAGCCTATCTTTTTTTGGTAAATATTATGACGATCAATTTCAGACCAATAAAATTGAATGTCCATTATGCTACTGTGTTTTATGAATCGTTATTTGTCAGCCGGTAGACTAACTTTTTTTCATCCAAGAATAAGCTAAGCCATGTCTACCTCTAATGACGAAATGTATACTGGTCGTAAAGGCAAGCATAATAACGCACCGACTCAAAAGGAAGGAAATATAAAAAACATACTAACTGTGTTTTTCTTTTGATAGTCCTTGTAACCTATCTGCGGGGACTTACTTCTGATCACTGGTCATACATAGATTTTTTGAGACTAAACCGTGATAATATCGTTGATTATCCACCATTTACAGAGGATTTGAATGGTCTTGATGGAACCTGGTTTAGGAGATTTCTTCGAGCAGTGCAAGACCTAAAACCAACAATATACGACACTATAAAAGGGAAGGTAATATTTTCCAAACTTAATTTGCATATTTGCATCAAGGGAGCTTCTGGTCAGCTGTCTATCTGACTCAGGAGTATCAGCAGTTTTTCTGACCCAAGTGATAGTGGTGGAAGCTCCTGGTTAGCTGTCTATCTGACTCGGGAGTATCAGTAGTCTTCCTGGTCCCCATTACTCGCGACATTTTTTTTTGTTTTGATGGTTGATGCTGAACCAATGAAATATGTAGCCTACTAATCTTCTATTCTCTTTTCAATAAGATGACTTCGGAGCATTCTGATTCCAAAAATATTTTGATTTGTTTTTGGAACGAAATAATATCTGATCGGAAACGGGTAAATACGTTGGCGTTGTTATTTTTATCGATGTATCCATCCATTTAAAGTGTCTTTATTATAATAGCTTGTGCTTAAAAGCACCCTTGATGCAGAAGGTCTTGGCCTGTTAAATGTGGCAAGTAGGCTACAATCGCGGAAGGTTACCCTGGATTACGAAGACCAGATTGCAAAATTGATACCCTCTTCTGATAAGCGTTCTCTTGATAATACCTCAGCGGATGATAAATCTACAGCTAAGAGAGTCAGCATTGATAATAAGTTTGCATAAATGTTTCTTCTCAAGCCTTTAATACAATACAGATTATAATAACACAAAAATATCATCTTCTGATGTGTAGGTTAAAATCTTTAATAAAGTTGAAACTCTGGAAAGCACGGAACAACAATTGCAAAATGCCGGAGATTATAATACACCACCCCCTCCTTACAATAATACACGTAGTGCTGGATCAGAAAAACATGCTTTGGATGATTCGGTAGAAAGTGATACAGAAGGTATTGAAATAGATGAGGAAGATGAAATCAAGAATCTTACAGAGGTATTTGGAGATATTTTGGTATTTGCTATCTTTTATGTATAGTAACTATCTTCACCCATACTCGCTCTCCTAGGACGAGATTGAAATTCGAAATAAGATACTCAGCGTTTTGGCTAGATGTCAAGACGAAGAAAAAAAGTCGGGAAAATCTCACATGACATCAGTATATCTTAATAATATAATGAATATGTCTGACGTAAAGATACGCAGAAAAATCGAAAAGTCCTTAAACGAAGATCAGCTTTTATGGTTTAACAAGATCCTTAAAAAGCAGATTTCAGGTCTAACTAACGAGTTTAAAAAATATTTGAACCAATTTAATGGAGATGTATGTAATAGAGTTCAAATCCCAACTCTGGTTCGCAATTCTTTTGTTTCGGGAAGATTCGACTCTTATTATTATGAAGACTATGATATTGCACACCAAATACTTGAACACTGGTAATTTTGTATGCATGACCATATTCGTTTAGCTGGATTTCATTTTATTATTAACTTTTCTGTAAATAGTGCTACTCGATTAGAGGCTCCGATGAGTTATGAATCCAAGGGTTTTAATTTAGAACGAACCTTTGCAATAGACACTATAATCTACATTTTAAATCGGGTATTCAAGATGCATCAGGATGTTATAGATAGCAGTTGGTAAGCATTTATCATAAATTTTATAATAGACCGGCTTTCAGTTAATTAATTTTTTTTATTTAGGATCGAATTGACGACTCCTCATACCAAACATCATAAATTCGATGGATTATTTAAAGTGTTAAGAACAAAATCGAATAATCAAGTTATAGCTATTGTCGAATTTTCAGGTGGCAGAAAGGCATCCTCAACTTAAGAAAACGATGACCATGTTAAATTGTGTCGAAATGCGATGAGAATTCTAAATTTCGTATTGAAAACCGTGCCAAGGGAAAAGGCGCGAATCTACTTGATACAATTTGTCAGTAAGTATTTTTGTTAAGTCTGAGTAATAAGAAGAGTGGCAAATTATTACATACTTCTAAAAAAATTTTTTTTGTAGACAGCTATCTTAGGATCGAGTATTTGGTCCGCCCCTTGCCATCAGTGTATTTTCTTGATCGTTTTATATGTACTAAAATACCCGAGACCTTTGACGACTTCGAAGAATTTGCCAAAGATATAGTAGAATTGATATCTTGGCAGGTATGGACTTATAAATTGTTCGGACTTCCTTTTTATGGTAGTTAATTTTAATTATTATAGGCGGATGTCTTAGTAACGGCCAAAGAAATAAACAAAATTCCTTACACAGCTGGAAACAATAATATCTGCATAACTCCGTTAGAAGATACACCAAAAAAGGATAAAAAGAAAGTTATAAAGAAAGCTGACGATTCATATCAAGAATCGCCATGTCCTGGAACACCATGCTCGCCATTGATATAAAGACATTTTATGTATTCTTTTATCTGAATATCAGATTTTCTAAAACTTTAAATGTATATATGCATGATTTGGTGTGTCGGAATAATAAAACATATATACAATACAACTGCGAATTTTCCTTGCATGATCGTGAACCAAGTAGTTTGGCATTTTGTTATAAGTACAAATTAAAAAGCATTTACCACTTGTACCGGAAATAAGTTTTGCAAACTAAATATATGGAGATAAAACAGATGGTCCGTGGATGAAATTTCACCAATATGATTTGCAATTTGGTAAATTTCGTCATAACTGACAATGATTATATTAAAGGTAAATTCAGTATACTGTATTTGCTGATAATAAACTATATAGTTATGCTCATAGAGCAGAAAGGCGTATTCATATAAAATTATAATCATTATAATAATACTCCGTCACAATGCATGTAGGTGTGTTTTTGATCCTCGTTAATGTGACTGCTTGTGCGACAAAATAATTTTCATACATAAAAATATTTCCTCGCATAACCTATATATTTTTGAATATTAACATACTAATACTACATTACGTAAGCATGCAATCTGAAATAGAGATGACCGATTCATTAAACAATGCATTGCCAAGCTTGAGGTTGAGAATGATAAAATTAGGGCCAAGAATGTTGAGCTTAAGGTCAGAATTGTGAAATTGGAAGATAAGCAATGATTGCAAAAACAAATTAATAAAAAACTTGTTATCTGTATCACAAAAAACATGATCATGTATTAATTTGGCGAAATTTCTTCAGCACCAGGACCACCCTTGCCAAAATGATTTTTTCTTGTTGACCAATTGTTGTCAGGTGTCATGTGGATTTTGATCGGAGTTTTCTAGCAGATCTTTCACAATATTAACGCGTAAATTTATTCACACTAATTACCCGAATGTAGTGAATGCCTAGAATTCCTAGATTCTTAGAATTTTTATTTTTTTTATATAAAATGACCAATAATATACTTATACCATCTTTTCATATATATTACTCGAAGCAACTTAACCAACTTCCTTGATCTATAAAAATAGATATATAGTGATGTCTTACATCTCAAAAATACCCATTATCACTGGAACAGACAAGTGGTATTCATCCCAAAGTAGAAGATATGTTAAATTAGATAGTTAAAAAATATATTAAGAAAAAAGAGCATCAGAGGATGAAGCCTGTTACCAGTGACTGTGAAAATTTGTTAAGAAAAGAAATGAGGAGTTATGTATATCAAAGCAGGTATTGGAAAAAAATATTAAAGAGCTTCTTGATTTGCAAGAGTAGTATAAGTCTCATGAGGTAGCTATAATCAGATCTTTGGAAGAGAGTGGTGGGAAAATCACCCAATTATCAAATTCAGTATCCTTTTTAAAAAGTATAATTCCTAATATGAAAAAAGCCATTGCATCAGCGGAAAAATCCATTGATATGTTAGAGAATAAATGCTGATATCTGAAGAATATTATTTCCACTAAAGATAGAAAAATTATTACTCTGCTTGATTAGATCTCTTCCTACACAAAATATAACGATATAAATATAGAACCGGAAGTATATTTCAACATTGATGAAAGAAAATTATAGATGAAGAGGCGTAGCGAGTTCAAGTATAACCCAGAAGCCCAGAAAAAAATACATTTTGTCTTACTTCATCAATTCCTTTGAGAGAGCATTAAGCTGAAAGAATTTCTACTCACTAGCTTAGACATTTTTTTCAAAAATTTTATCCCATCCAGCTCGTATTCTGTGAGGATGGTTTGAAGACACTGTTAAATCAAAGACAATAAAATTGCGATCAGTCAAATAGTTAACGACATTTTTATATATACTACGCCAATCATAAGAATATAGGCGAAGAATACAGGCTAGTTCATCAGAAGTAGAGTCATTAAAGAGTACGATATAATTTAATTCTTTTCTTATTAGCTTCAGACAGTCAAAAAAACTCTGTGTGATATATATACTGCTAATATTTTTGTGACGCCCTTCAGTAAAATAAGAAACAATTTTCTCCTGAACTTTCTTTGAATCAGCGTATACATCTTCGAATATGATTACTGTAGAGGTTGGAATCAGTTTGGTATAAATTGATTTAAATTTGGTTTAAATCGGTTGTAACATAAAACTGGGTTTATTTTTTTCAGATTCGAAAACCAGTTTTAATAAAATCAGTTTATTGTGAAAATTCAAATTTAATTAAACCAATTGAACTGGTTTATACATTAAAATCAAACCCTGAAATATGATATTTATGTTTTATTAACATTTGATAATTATGCAACAATAGATATTATATAATTTCGATAATGACAATATGGTAAGATTTAAATTATTTTTATATTATAAAAGAAAATTAATTATTTGAATGATCCAATTTTTGAGACTTTTTTTTTTAATTTCTCCATTATTTCATGCAAATTTGTAGAATTATACTTTTTTATGTTAGATCCTTACGAAATCATTCCTTCAAATTTTTATTTTTATTATGTACTAACAATTTTTTCCTTTGAAGTTTTTGCATTTTTTTGTGAGATTTTTATGAAATTGCATTAATATATTAATCGCAATTCGGTTTTTTGGTTTTATTATAACCGAATATCTGGTTGAATCAGTTTTATTTTAAATTCAGTTTTAAATTCAGATCTCAAATTAAAAAAGTGTTTAAATCATTTGTGAAAATAAATCTGGTTCTAACCTCTAGTTCACTGTATCTCTTTCTGAAGAGAATGAATCTAGCTTTGGAATTTTATCAGGTTTTATTGTTCGAAATGTAATATCTTCACTATATGGTTTTGGGTAGTGATACTTGACTAAACTCTTTTTTGAAAAATTGTAATTCGTCAAAAGTTTCGTCTCTTTAATATTTTTATATGAATAAATTTAAAATTATTATTTTTTTAATGTATTTTAATTCAAGGAATTTAAATCAAGTTAAATATAATTTTGACAATTAAGTAAAATAATTTCGTCATTAATAAAAAACTAGTTTCATCATTTCAGTTTCGTCAATTTTGTCATATTAAAAAAGGTAATTTCGTCAGATATCACTAGTTTTGGGCTATTTGCAATTATCTGATAATCAGATTTGTGATACAAGTATTTTGGCTTCTTGAGGTGGTGGCCAATCAAAAGAAGATCATCATTTTTAATATATCGTGTCCCTCCCTTTTTACTATTAAACATTCGATATAGCTTATTTCCTAATAATAGATTTACGACTTCATTAGTTTTTCCTGAATTAGTTCGACCTGATATTAGAACTGTGAAAGGCTATTGGGGAGTTGAGATTAATCTGTTAAATTTTTTTGCATTTTTTATCTCATCAATATGGAGAATGATTCTATTTACTAGATCAAGCTTTCTGACTTGATGTTTCTTATGATCTTTCATATTGCTTAATATCATACTTTAAAAATATATTATGAAATTTTTGGGATGAGCAATTTTGAATTTTTGGAAAACCTTTTAACAATGTTAAAAGGTTTATATCACATGAACTTTCAAGGATTAAACTTCACTTCATCCAAAAATCCTTTATCAATTAGCATATGCTTAATGAAAGGTAAAAGGTTACATGTTAATACCGGATCATATCAAAAGTACTGCGTCATAAAGATCTGCAAAAATGTTAACATTCTCAACTCCGTTAACATTCTCAACTTTATTAACATTATCAACATTTTTATATTTAACATAGT